TACTATTTACTCAGGCCGTTCGTTTCCGTAACGACTTTCCAGTATCCCCTCCTACAGATCAGAGAGGTGCCGTGACAATAATAATAATAATAACTAGTTATAATAATAATAGTAATAATCCGGAAAGAGGGAGGAAAAGACAACGTACACGCGCATAAGGGAAATGCATTGCGAGAAATTTCAAAGGTGATATGACGGCACGTGTCGCGCATTTTATTGCATTTCTGCGCCAAGGCCAAATTCGTGTCTTTTGTTATTGCGTCGACCGGTTTCTACGGTGATGACGACACTGTTGTCTTAAAGCCTATCGACAACAAACGAACAATCCTGTTTGTTTAATTGAACACCGATAAGCGGACAACGAAAACGTTCGAAAAATTTTAAGCATAAACAATAAACAAAAATTAGCCACAGAGACGATCGCAACCTGTTCGATAAACAATTGTACACACCATAACGATCGTCACCGGCACGGTAACACAACTAACTTACTTCCTTCGAATATTCAATATTTACTTTACGCGCACCATCGTGGGAAATAGCGAACCGAATTGAACTTTGGTTTTAAGACACACCGCAAACATTGTACACAAACTGATATATATTGTCCTATATGCAGATGCAGTGCGATCAACGCATCGCCGTCCGCGGGAATAATTCTCATATGTGAAAAATTACCAAATTGAGGTTTTGGTATCACTAACTTCAGAAAAAAATTATCTTTAATACGAATAGAACTCCAATGCGCTATTTTTTTCAGTGTTTAATGAAATAATTAAATTAAATAATCTCTATTTGTGTAGGGCTAATCATAAACGTTTCTGGAACACCTCCAATGTGAATACTTAAACTCTTATGTGTATGACGTTTTTAGAAAAATGTATAAATATCTTCTATGCGAATAAAAATATGATCGGCAATCACATTGGAGGTATTGTTGTTTGTGTGGTGGTTAGTGTCGCGTGGGGATAGATAGATAAATAACTGTTTTGTCTCTACTGAAAAGTAACGTTTTTTCACATTGGAGATTTATTTTCCCGCGGACGACGGCATATTATGTGTGTGATTAACGTACGATAGCGGTTTAGAAATTGAAGAATCGTTTAAACGTTATAATAAGTTAAAAATGATAAATGATTAAATCGGGGTTTTGGGCGACCGCCCGTTCCCGTTACGAAACCGCGAATATTTCGAAGGTCAGAATTTTTTTTTTTATCACTATTATTACTGAATAATTCCGTTTCGTTAAAATTAGACAAACAACGACACGGTTTATAAATACGTACAGTACACGTGTAAAAAGAGGTAATGCGCGGGCACCAGCTGGATGCAATTGCGAAAATTGCAAGGCTAAAGTTGCAACAAAAAAAAAATTATATAGAACCGACACGTCCAAGGACTTTCCGACATGCTGCATGCAATCCGATACACTCCAGTCCCCTTCACTACCGACATAGTTGCTTTACATATATACACTAATACAATAAATTATTATTTAGGTGGAGGTTTTCCAAAGAGGGAGGATGACGACGCGCAGGTGTGTGTGTATATGTGTGTGTCTGTGAGAAAAGAATATAAAGCTACTACGTAGTTGGGAATCGAAAACAGCTGTTTTACGCAGGGTTCAAACCCGACGGATTTATTACACTGTCGGTCATTGGTTCTCTACGGGCACGTATAAAATAAAAAAAAAAAACTGGTCTTGTCAGGGTGGAATTCTAAGACACAAAGCGATCCCTCCAGCCGCCTACGGATATGAATTATACCATAATAGCGTTATAGTAAGAGTAAAATACGGGTTGAAATAAATAAATTATAATCAAATACGTATAATGTATAATAAACGCGTACGCCACACTGTGTACCGCACCAATAGTGGTACACGCTATATTCATTAACCACAAATATATTATTATTCCACATTTAATTGCACGACTACCGTTGGGTAATGCGAACCACTTCAAAATGTACACACGCGAATCGAGAAGTTGCGCGAATGTGTTGTCCTTGCCGGATGCAAACGTTTCCGGGTGGGCCCGGATTCGATTTCCATGTCAAGGATAACACTGTATGTGTAATTCGTCGTCATAATGATAGCGTCAGCGAGAAATAAGACGCTTATTTCAAATTTCTAACTTCTAAGTACCACTCGTACAACACATTCGTTCACATTCTTTTAATAAGTGATTGTAAATTTACAAACCTTTCACTTTCTTTTTCGTTTCAAATCAAGTTACATCAATCGGTCTAATATATTGTACGAGAAAAATAAATTTCTTCCACTCTAAGTGAATAGGTTGGACATTGAGATTTTACTCTATGCATAATGATGATAATAATGATCAACCCTAACATAATAATTGCATTCATTCACGCTAGTGTTAATTTAATCCTTGGTTAACGAGATTTTTTTAACAATTTTATGTTTACGATATTCACGTATTAATACCGGACATTTATATTTGAAAATAAAAAAACAAAATTAGAACTCAAACATTTATATGAAAAAATTAAAGAACAAAAAATGTTTTATTTCTTTAACAAAATTTAACGTAACTGATACTTAAATTAATGATTCTTTTATTAAATATACAATATCGAAAATCACACATCAATAAGTTGTTATTTGTTAATATGCAGTCGTGTTTTAGGCTAAACGATAAGACATGTACCTATACACAATATCTTGTCTTATTATGATTTTCTAAAGATGTCTGTAGCTGATCAATTTATTTTTACCGACAGATTAATATTTGATTAGAAACAATTATTAATTATAAAATCACATTTAGCTACAACAAAACGATATGAATCCTATTAGTTATCACTACAAAATATAATAACATGTTTGCGATTATTGTTTAGAAAATAAATTATTTTTCTTCCACAAATGATTAATGATGGCTTTGTTTAAATGGGTGGAGTAATGTAAGAGAGAATAAAGTTTACAAATTAAAATTGTCGTCACGGCTAGTAGCGCTCAACAAATTGTAGTATGAATATCACTATTACCAACGGATCAGCGCATTTTTGGAGAAAAATAAAGCTACGGTACAGCTATAATTATTATGTACACTTAGAAAACTCGGACTATTAAAACAAAAATAATTAAACAAAATAATACCTACACCAACACCGAAATCAGCTTGCGAAAAAAAAACAATGACTGGTTCTATAATACTAGAGAGAGGCGTATCCATCCATTTTATTAGTTATATACTTTACATATCTTCGCGTTCAAATCAACGTAATGTTATAATACGCGAGTGCATACACACAAATACACCAATTTTTAGAAAGGAGGAAATATAATGAGCTTACATATATTTAAAAAAGATGATGACTATCGGGCTAATTATATTAACGTGCTCTAGAAATTGTTTATATGTATATGAAATTTGAAAATAACTGAGTTTTTACTTAAACACGCGTATAGAGAAAAAAAACCGTTAATAAATTTTCAAACGCAAATTTATCGAAATATTTAGCTGAGGTCTGGGATACGTCATCAAGTATACTCGGGTAAAAACCCGAAAAAGACCTGAACCCGAGCTCGGACTTGCCGATTTTCACATCATGTGCGCGCGATTACAATATATGTATTATATATATATATATATATTATGTTATACCATTGTTGACGACTATTACGTGTATATATGTACACACAAACACAATTATCCAAGTATTGTTCTGACCATTTATCGGTATAATTACGTAATTAAATAAGAGTTGCGCGTAGGTGTACTGACCTTCTTCCGTTTGGGCACGTCCTCGAAATCGTCGTCGGTCAAACCGATTCCCTCGTCAACGACAGACGGCAAACCACGTCCGCTCCAGGCGGCTGAGGAGCTGGACTCGCTGAGCGGCGGTGACGGTGAGCTGCGGCATGAGAAGGCTCCTTCACTGGACGTGGATGGGCTGGTCGACAGCGATTCGGGTTGCTGGCATCGCATAATGCGTCCTGAAAGAACACAAAAAAACTAAAATAAGTATGGAAAAAAATAATACGAAAAATCGTAGCACTTTGACCGTGTAGAGTACATATAACAGCAGTAGTATTAATAATATAATTGATAATAATAGTAATATTAATAATAATAACACGACGCTGAACGCCGAACGAGCCTTAAAGGGATATTGGTTGTAGGCGGATACGGCAAGTTGACGTCGCAAGAAAATTCGTAGAGACCGAGCGCACGAGACAGACGGCCGCCCGCGAGCCCCCACAAACGCCGGCCGGCCGGCCGGCCGCCGCCGCCGACACGAGCGATAATAAGCCGGTGGGCGGCAGTGACGTCACATTATCGGATGACGCAAATCCCGGGGTTGCTGTCGTCAGGTGTGCGTCGTCGACGACGACGGCGGCGGCGGCAATAATTAAAGCGAATAGAAATGCAAAAAAAAATATGTGCTCACGACATTATTGTTAAATATACATAATAATATAGTGTGTACGTAAGTCGGGCAATGTGCGCGCGCAACAACAACAACTGCCACGCGCAAGTATAGGCGGTAGCAAATTTCGGTTTTCAGTTTTGGATTTTTTTTCTCCTCTAAACACGTTAATTTCAAAACGAATGGTTTAATATTGGTTTAACAATACTAGATATATATATATATATATAGATCGTACGTTATATTATGTATTTATGTTGTACACAATTGAACACGCACTTTGTACGTGATAAACGTCAACCGCGGAGCGATTACGTCGGTACAGAAAAAAATATGTAACAACAACTACGAAA